CCGAAATTTCGGTGCATCTCTAATTATTGGCGACATCAGAAATTGATATTATATAATAGATGCTTTTTGGAACATTTTAGCAATTTAAAAATATAAAAAAATGATTTTTTTTTATGCGGCACCCCTGCTCTCGACAGACGGCACCCCGGTTGGGAAACACTGGCTTAGAGAATCAAAACGGCAGGCCTAGTGAGACTGATTTGGTTTAATGGGGATTAAAAAATAAAAAAAAATTGTAATTGTAGGGTGGTTGTGTTCACACATTGCCAAACACACCTTTATGTCCAAACACCATATAAAAGTGTATTTTGCATAATAGGTGCCCTTTAATGATTTAAAATTAGTTTTAATTTTCAATAGTCCATTATTGGCATAAATATTATTTATCTTTATCATTTTTATACTTTATTATGCAGTTAAATTTTTAAGTCCCTGCTCTACTAAAACATACCTAAATATCTAAAATATTCATCCAAGCCACTCCAGAAGTTTCGCTCAATGAAGCCCTTGACCAATCCCCATGGCTGCTTCCTGTAGCGTAGTTCAGCTGACACCCTTTTAGATTCATACAAAAAAACACAGCATTTTACCCTTACATGCTAGAAAATGTTTTAGCAGAGCATTAAAATAGAGTAAAGAGTTAATAAATATAGAGCACAAGCTTTACCTCAGGCGGCACTTGTTCTTGGCGACTCTAGTGAACATATAGCGGTTGAGCGTGTAAAAGTAATCGTGATACGGGACATCGTGAGCAATCACCTCAGCGTCGATGATGTAGCACTCGCTCACTTGACTGGCCTTGTGCAGAGTCTAGAAGAAAAACAAAGAAACAGCAGCTTTTCATAGCATCATCAAGACAAAACTACATTAAACATGTCCCATGTACTGTATGCGGCTTGTTTGTCTCCTCTGGTGAGCTCACCTGCGTCTCTGTAACTGTGGCTGTCTTTGGGGCCAGTGGGTTGGAGAGGGAGATGGTGTACATGATCTCTCTGCTCTGATTACCAGTGTCTTCTTTCCTCCATGGGTTATAGACCACATCTGAAAGAGAAAAAAGGCCAAATCAATAATAGTCAGATATAGGCAGACAGACAGACAGACAGATAGCTGGATAAAGACTATTACATAGAGTTGGTCAACCTGAGAAGCGTCTCTGCTCCAGAAACTCTCTCATGAACTGGGATTCAGTGAAGAGGATGTCATACAGTTTATCCACACTGAACTTATATACTTCATTAATGTACAGTTTCCCATTCAGATCTTCCTGGAAGGCTTGCACTTCCCCTGCAGAGAACACAGAAACAGGAAGAGGCCGTGTGTCAGGCCAGATGTGGTACAATATATAGAAATTGTTGGATGTAGAAATCAGTGTTGGGAGAGCGTACACACCCTCATCGTGTGTTTCTGAGGAGTCGCTGAGTTCAGTGGGGAGGTCCTCATTGTCACTGAAGTCAAGGGAAGGTGAGGGGACGGGGACGGGGGCATGTGCGGAGCCACTGGTCTCTGACAGCTTGTTGTCAGGTAATGGCAGGGGTACGAGGTCTTCTGGGACGCAGCCACTGAAGTCCTCCACTGGGGGCACGTTAAACTACATAGATAGAAAAGATTGTTTGTGAATATTTTTCATTAATAAAATATCAAACACCCAAAACATGAGTTTGCCATCCTAACGTTATGCTGCAATGGTCAGGTACGGCAACCTTAACCACCCGGTAAAGCATTACTGTCATACAAACTATTATTCCCACAGTAATGCAGTGATGTGTTGTGTGAAGAGATCTGGTGTTTACGTTGACCGGAGCGTCTGTGCTGTCCATGGAGTTCAGACTGCTGTTGGGGAAAACCTTCCTGTGGAGCTGGGGGCTGATGTCCATTTTAGCGTCTGGGGTTTTAGGGCAGTTGTCATTGGCCTCGTTGTCTTCAGCGGGAATCTCCTCACAGTACCTGCACCAGGGAGAGGGGCAACAGCTGCAGGTCAAGATTACCAGCTCGGGCAGCAGAATAGACCAATGGGATGGACTGATGGATAGTGGAGGAGAAATGAAGATATCTACAGCAAATGAATGAATTCAATTTTCCAAGTTTGACTAGGTATATCTGACTCACTCATGATCGAAGAGCTGTGAGATTTATATGCTTCTCCTAGGACTGTCATTACACCCCTCCCAATCCCAGGTCAACCTAGATTTCATGTCTCTCCAGAAATGTTGCAAAAACACCATTTATACTGCAGCGATAGCTGCTGTTGTCAGTTTCCTGAAGACCCTGAGGGGCTTAATGTCTGAACAAGACACTTCAGCTTCCACAAATGTTTTAATTTCATTGTGAAACCCATGAAAAGCAGAGGGGTTTTTTGTTTCATGAGGTGGGAGAAAGAGATCAAAACAGTGGGAGTTGGAGAAAAATATAGGATGGAGAGATAAAGAATGGTTGAGAGAGAATCACAGAGGCCCCCATTGTGCACAAGTCATTTTATGGTGTTAGTGTTGAGGCACGGCCAAGGACAACGCCTCAGTCTTCCTTCTCTCCATGCTCGCACTCTCACGGGGTGAACGAACTCTAGTTAACTTCCTGCGCTGGTGGAAGGGGGATGTTGAGGGGATGCCAAATGGGTGAATCATCTCTGTTTCTGGCCTCTCCGCCAATCCCCTCTCAAGCAAAACATCTGAGGCCACTACTGAGGCAGACTCATTGTTCAGCTCAGGAGCAAGACACTCGGTAGAACCATCTCATAGCATTTGTTTTGGAAGCTCTAAGAAAGTCCCTTATTTAAACAATATTGGTACTATGTCGGCTTGTCACTTGATGCCCAGTGTCAAATATGAGCAAAGTAATGGAATTTCGTTGGAGATGAGTCTGGTTATTCTCAAGGTCTTCCTTCTGCTGGCTTAACGTGGGTTTTTTTTCCCCCTGCCACAGTTGCTCTTGGCTTGTTAACTCAGGGTTTTAAGGACTAATGCATTTTCTGTAAAGCTGCTTTTAAACGTAATTGATTGTAAAATGCACTATACAAATAAAAATGACTTGACCCCTCCTCGTGAGCACACGGGATGTGATTATTTACAGTCCTGTGGTGAAAATGCATTTTCTTCACTTACGCCCTACTGGAATGGACATCTGAAGAGTGTTTACAGCTGACATCTTACAGCTTGTGGCTGTCTGTCCACCCAGGAAAAACAAAAATGAGCAAAGTTTAATATTTTCTGATAAGCTCACACTTGGAGAGAGTCCCAGCATCTTTGTTTCCTGTTGATCTTTATAAACAGGCACAGTTATCGGCACACAGATGCTGGTGTCCACGCATCCTGTTTTCTTCTGTTTATAGAGACATGCAGAAGCTTCATGCCCATTCAGACTGCCCTTGGAACCGCCTTACAGTTTTGAGTCAAGTGCAGATCATTTGCTTCAAATTGAAAATGTATGTTTTCACTTTATTTTATCAGTGGACTTCAGGCAATGAAAATACATTAAATAAAACAATAATATAATATCATATAATATAATATAATATAATATAAAAAAAGATTTGTCCATTGCAAAAAATAAAATAAAAATCACCTGTCAAGAACTGTAAAATACTGTGCATTATATAAACATTCAGTTTTGCTTTTAAAGTGATTCGGGGGGGATAAATAAGCTTTCCATTGATGTATGGTTTTCCAAGATGAAAATCTGGAATCTGAGGGTGCAAAAAAAAACTAAATACTGAGAAAATCGCCTTTAAAGTTGTCCAAATGAAGTTCTTAGCATGCATATTACTAATCAAAAGTTAAGTTTTAATATATTTACAATAGGAAATTTACAAAATATCTTCATGGAACATGATCTTTACTTAATATCCTAATGATTTTTGGCATAAAAGAAAAATCAATCATTTTGACCCATACAATGTATTTTTGGCTATTGCTACAAATATACCCCAGCGACTTAAGACTGGTTTTGTGGTCCAGGGTCACATATGAGAATTTCTCTTAAGTTTCCTGCTTCTCAGATTTTTCAGTAATCTAAATCAGTTTCAGGAGAGACCTCAAAGTCTCATATGAACTGAAATGTTTTTCATCGAATTCCTCCAGAACCACATTATCTGAGCTATACTATGCATATATAGCCTGATCCATGACAGAAACAGAAACACTGTTTATTTGAGAGAAAGAACACTGCAGTCTTTGTTCTGCCGTTCTGCAGTGCACTTTCATCGAGATGGCCCGGAGGTTATGACCGACCATAACACATTGACAAAACATCACAAAGGCACTTGTAAAATGATGAAAAATATCATTAAGAGCTGGCTGACCCAAAGAAAAAAAATCTACTCTTTCCCACAGGAAAACAAATGCTGGGAAATGTCAGGTCAAACATCCAGCCTTACAGAAGAAAGAGGTAATCATCATTTCCAACATGAAATGTCTGTGAAAGCAGTTTAACTCAAACAACACTGGGAGGCGACAAGCTCTCAGATTCACACGATTCTCATCATCCTACAACTGATAAAGCCTTGTGGACGAGCAACAAAACAGTATTTAAATAAAGAAAAACAGCATCCATTTCCTAAAGAATGACCCCAATATCATACAAACCCACAACATTCAGTATCAAAAATCACTCATATGAGCAAAACATAATGAAGAATAAAAAACAGACTTACGTTATACCAGCTTTGACTCTTCTGTGAGTTTGAAGAATCAGATGTTGATGTTGAAAGAAACGAGAGAGGAACAGAGAAACATTAGAGTGAGTTTTTAAGGGAATATACAAACATTTATAATAGACATATACATATGATACACACACCACATCTATCTATCTATCTATCTATCTATCTATCTATCTATCAAAAATGTTTGATCAGCACAGGTATACATGCAATTCATTTGAGTACACCATAAAACAAGGGATTATGGGAAAGCTCTGTTTGTGTATGGGATTTCATCGGCGCTTGTATCACATTTCTCATACACAAAGCTACCACAAGGGGGCAGTGTTAACACTAAATCAAAGCTTTTCTTTCAAATGTTGCAAAACGTATTAAACATTTGATTTAGGACTGATCTACAAAACCACAACTACTTCAAACGAGTCTAAGCAGCGATTATGATACAGTTTTATGATACATATACACAAATATAAAGACCTAAGAGAAATCTCTGCAAAAACTCTCTTTCTCTGACTCCAAACAACAGCAGAATGGAGACAGAAGAGACTCTACAGTTCTCTACTGCGGACCCTTCTCACAGGACGGGGCAGGACTCAAGGGCACAAATATCGATTTCTTACTTTAATCAGGTTTAATCTGTCATACTGGAGAGAAAGTTCATCAAGAGTAAGAGGTCAGGTGGGAGATGTTTTACTAATATATATGTTTTTCTGCCTCTGCGACACGAGTTAGTGTCTCTATATGGGATCGGTAACTGAAAACTGCTTTGGTGTGATGCTGCATCGGTACAGATTGTTGTCAAGATTAAATTTTTTTCACAGTTTATCAGACAATTCGTAACATTCAACTTGGCATTGCTAGCTAGTTTCGCACAGGGTTTGCTTAGCATGTTAACTTAGCACAGACAGGTAAAGCAGAGCCTAATGGGATGGCTCACAGGCAGGGTGGAGGTACAGTAGAGCAGAAAAGAGTGATGCTTACTTTAGACAGTCTCTTGTGTGACTAGCATGCATGAGAGGAAGATATCAGAAAACAAACAAAAACAAAACTGTATGAATAAGTGCAGAGAAATGAAAAAACACTGTTGGGTTGCAAAGCTTCTCCACATAGCAAAGAGATGTTCTGTGATTAACTTCTGCACATGAGGTGCTGATGAATATGAAATGATTATGCAACGATTACTGACTCCAGACCAGAATGAAATGTGCCTCACTTTTTTGACAGGCATAAAGTATTTCTCAAATGATTTCATTTTGTGAAACATACTTTTTTTAATAAAATATATTGTTCTTATTGAAGAGGAGAACTCAACCTTTTACCTTGCAAATTAAATCCTTTAACAGATGCAATGATATGAAAATGAAAGCAAGTTTCAACATTTACTTTGCTGCCTCGTTGTCTACATCTTTCGAAGCAAAATATTAAGTTCAAAAATATATTAGGGATGCATGATATTGGATATCTGATGTGCGGATAATTTTAAACTCATTTTGGCAGACAGCTGATGCCGATACATTTTCTTTTGTTTGGAAACAACACCAAGTCTCTCCTGTGCAGAGATTATGAATAAATTGTTTTTGTTAATTTTGAGCAAAAACTTACTTGTTAGAACTAAATAAACAGTATTAAAGTTCTTTTTATAATGAGAGTACATTGAATGCTTTGAAAATAGCTAAAAAAAAAAAAATCAAGCACTGCTTTTTTTTCTCTCAGACATATGCAGCAACCTTAACATTTTAATTGTAGATTTAACGTTTGTAGATGGTCTACAATCTTTTAGACTTTCTTGTATTTAAGTTTTCATAATGATACATCTGAAAAGAAAAAAGCACACATTAATTAATAAATCTATATACATAAAATTATGTAATTTACAAGCCTCATGTTTGTGATTTTTATTCATGTAAGCTAGATTCTGACCTTTAACTCAAAACAGGCTCGTGATTTTATGACATAACTTTATTTATTCTGAAACATAAGTACTCTTAAATGCACAAATCTTTATTAAAAAATAAAAATAAAAACTTTAAACATAAAAAATTAATCTAAATAAATCAATTTAAAATTAAACATACATTTTATGTTTTTAATTTTTGCAATTTTCCAGTGTTTGAGAACTGCTAACATATACATATATATATATATATATATATATATATATAATGAGAATGAGAATAAATGAATAGATTATCATTAAATTTAATTTAATTTATTGCAATTTTATTTAATATTCATATTTTAATTTAATTAATTTTTAAAATTTATAATAAATATTATAAACTCGTCTGGGACTGCCTTATCCACACTGAATATGCTGCTCAAATAATATGATGCCTAAAAATGTTTTCTAGGTTGGCAGCTCACTGGGTTTTGAAGTCAGTTTACTGGAAAGCTAAACTGTAAACATTGTTATCATATAAGAACACGTGGACAATCATCTTTATGGGTATAAATCATCTGCAATTTTATAATATGACTCAGAATTGAGTTTAAAAACTGATACAGAATTTGATCCCACTGTAGCAATAAATGTGCAAGACATGCGGTATATGAAAATGGAGAGAGCGGAAGTACAGTAAGTACAATCACACACGTTTACCTTGGAGTTTTTCCCTCCGGGGCGGGTGGTGTGAAGCGACTGGCTGTAGGTGCGCTGGACGGCTTGTTCTGGGGTGGAGGGGGATTTATCGGAGGAATGATCGGAGCTCTTTTCCACCATGTTCTCTCCCTCTGGATTCTGGGGTGTTGGGGAGCGCGAGCGTTTACGCAGGACGGGTGAGCAGGCCGGCGAGCTGCGGTTCGAGTTACTGGCAGTGCTACAGAAATAAGAAACATATCCAGTAAAAAACAGATTCTGTATGTCCAAAGGAATACAAATGTATGTTGGATGATGGCCGGACACTTTAAGCACACGAGTTCCAGACACACTGATCTGCAGTGCTCATGTGTCAGAGGAAGTTTTCTTTAAACCAGCAAAACGCTTAATAAACTGAATGTCTTTATGAAAATGTGAAAATGCAAAAGGTTTCTGAAAAGTTAGGTTCAGGTAAATAAAAAACCACTGGCTCAGTTTAAAAACAACAGAAGTCAACCACCTAAACAAACATGTGCACACACACATTTTCCCAGGAGGCCACTCATTGGCCTTTCACCTCTGCCCTGTCAGCTTAGGAATGTATTCAGACTGACATCTCACAACTCTGAGCAAAAACACAGCAGCGGGGGTCACATCGAAAAATGCCGCAGTTCTGCTGGGAACTTCCACATCACGGATAATATCACATTATCTGTAGAAGAAATTATGAATGCAAATTCATAAGGTGTTTTTTTTAGATCAGAAAAACAGGATTAGTCAAAATACAGGAACTAAGCATCTGATAATCTTTCTGAAGCACAAAACTGAGAAAAAAGGAAGAAGGAAGGAAGGAAAGAAAGAAAGAAAGAAAGAAAGAACTAAATTAAACAGAGCAATACAGAGATCTTTACTTTAGTCTCCTGCTTCTCGTGTTTTTCTCCTGAGACCATAATATCCAAAAAGTTCACAACACATGCTTATATTTTTCAATCAATTCTATCTGCAATCAAAAATCTCAGTATGAACTCAAATAGATCTCTAAATTTCCCAGTACCAAATGAACTGAGTCATACTGTGCATGTTAATTTTTTTATTGCCTCTTTTATTTCTTCAAAGGGCTTTTCGGAGAAACATCTCATGCAAAATTGATACTTAAAATAAAGCGTCACTGAGAACTCCATTAATTCTTCTAGGCTAATGAAGAGCAACCTCTAAAGTCACCTTCTGGGAAAAACCATCAGAATGACACTCACTCGCTGACCTCAAACACACAGAAACTCTTAATCAGACTATTTGCTTACGAAGGTCAAGATGATGTAGATAATACAGAAAATGAAAAACTTTTTTCAATCAAAAGGGGAACCACTCCATCTATCTCCGTCTCAATCTCTCTATGCAGCAATCCTCCATCTTCCTGCTGTCAGCCCTTCATCTGTCCCTCAGGAAGGGCACCAAGCTCTATCTTAATTATTAATGTTCTATACCTGAGCTAAGAGCTGCCCGTCTGGAAAAACAAACACAGTGTGACAAAAGAGAGATAAAGAGAGAGAGAGAGAGAGCGAGCAGATAAAATACAGCAACTCATAAAACATCTCACAATCTCTCTGGGTTCATGATATCAGCCTAATGCACTTGTGATTTTGCCCATGCAGCAACACTCAAGCACTCAAGGAGCCGTTCCCTCCCAGAACACAAGTCCACAAGTTAGAAGGTTCTGACGGCAAATAAATCACTGCAGATGAAACCTTCACAGAAACAGTGGCATCAAATTACCGCTGCATAGATCTACATCTGTCATGCTGTCAAGAATCTGTTAGATCAGCTGCTTAAATGTTTTCTTTTGCATCATTGCATTCAATTTACAAAGTGAGGATGGGAAGCACAGCTCTGGCAAATGAGCTGCTAAGCTGCTGATTTTAAATTCCATAATAAAAATCTAAACAAGTAGTCTAAATACTAAAATAAATCCTTTTAAGTGCCGTAGGTGAAATTAAGCATCACAACTTTATAATGCACAGTCTGAAAACTGTGATATTTAAAAATAAAAAAAAGCTAAACATGTAAAATGTAAAAACATGCTAAACAAGCATGCACAATTAAATACTCAATATCGACTGATAAATTACTGATCAATTTAAAAATATACATTATAAGTCTATATGCTACTCACCAGGATTACTATAGTTAACTAAAACCATAAAAAATATATTTCCTGAAATAAAAGAAACATTAACTATAATAATATAGAATCTACAAACACATATTTCAGCTAGTTGACAAGGCCACATTTCTCATTTTCATTTAGTTTAACTAAACTAAAATAATTTAAACTAAAAATGAATACACATAACATAATGAAAACACACCACATAATTATTATAGGAATATCATAATTTTATAATTCTCTTTACATTGAATTTTCTTTGTGCTCATCTACATCTTTTTTATAATTTTATTATTATGTATGAACTATTCCTGTCTTACAAATCTGAGCTATGTGTGTACCTTTTTTTGATGGTTGTTATATTTGTGCTATAATTACAATTCAATAAACATAATTATAAAAAATATGTAAATAAAAACTCAAATTCCAAATATTAATTAAAAAACTATAATAGTATCTCAATGATACTAAAATAAAGTGTGTGAATAAAAAAAAAGCTAGTGATTAATTCAAAACATGTCTTTTACAAAAGCCTCGTCCATCATGTCCAGCATCTGATGTTAGCGAGAGCTTGAAGCACACACACGTGCCAAAGAGATTCTCTCTCTTCATGCTGATAAAGTGATAAAAGGTCTTTATCAAACACTCTATAGAAAAAAGCTGGTGTTGTGGGCGGCTATGTGGCTCTCCTTACCTCTCACCTGTCATATCGGCACTCATGAGGGGCCTAATGACAGACTACAGAGGCATATTCACATCTGTATGTGTGAATGCAGTTTTCACACAAAAAACCTCTCTCACGCTAGCGGCTAGCCCACGTCACAGAAAGCAAAAAGCAGTGATAAACATCTTTCTCACACTCGTTGAAGGGGTGAAAACACTCCTATGTGATGCAAAAAAAGGCTCGCTACATGCAGCAAATGCGATGCATTGCCCTGATTAAATGGCGCATATCAGATACTCTTATAAAAACATCCAGCTCACGGATGCTTTTGCCACTTTGCAATATTTAATGGAGTAATTAATAAAAAGGCTTGGAATGGGATGAAAAATGCCTTTATTTGCTGGTAAAATACTCTATTAAATATCGCAAGGTGGCAAAAGCATCTGTGAGAACTAAAATACTGGAAATTGTCGCTAATGGACATGTCAAGTGTGACTGCCCATCATGCAAATGCAAAAACTATGACTTCTCTTCATGATTTTCATGCAAAAATTACACACAGACAAACCTGGTGGCCATGAGGGACTACGCGAAAGCGTTGGGCTCGGCTTCATTCATTCAGTGCGGCTGCGGTGTGAGGATGGAGTGATGTGATGAGAGAGGAGGAAAAGAGGAGGCGGAGCTTATCACCTCTGAATCCAGCATCCCTGTTTTTTCAAGCAAGCTTTCTCATTTTTTCACTCTTCTGCATGGTCGTTTCCTCTGAGGTCCCATTAGTCATTCGCTATTATTAAGTCAGGGTCAGCGGGGGCAGGAGGACGGTGAGCTGGTGTGAAAAACGGCTGCTGTGCGGCGCAGTGTGGTGGCAGGGGTTGATTTAATATTCATGGATTTCTTGAATGAAACCACTTGCGTCAGCAGCCTGAACGTCAACAAGCCAGTCTCTGGCTCTCTACCCCTCCCCCTGTCCAATCACACCACTCCCCTCTCTCACTCTCTGTCCGCTCCTGCGATGCATATGCCAGCATATTCTGCACACACATACATTCTGGACTGTATAACTTGTATTGTTACCAATATTACTATTGCATATTGCATGATGCCTCAAATCCTGCGTCTTGTTGATGAACAATGTACTGTTAATTTTCTTAACAATGAGACTTACAGTTTTTTTATTTGGTGGATGATAAAAGAGGCAAAAATATGGATTCCTGTGATGACAAAGCTGAATTTTCAGCAGTCATTCACTACTCCAGTCTTCATTGTGACATGATCCTTCAGAAATCATTCTAATATGCTGATTTGGTGTTCAGTTATTATCAATATAACTGGTGCTCAGCTACTTTAGCGTAAATTTAATGAACTTATTATTTTTGGGAAAACTATAATAATTGTTTTTAGGATTCTTTGATGAATAGAAACTTGAAAACAGCATTTATTTAAAATAGAAATCTTTTGCAAAATCTTTTCAACACTGATAATAATAAGAAATGTTTCTTGAGATCTTTAAAAAATGTATCACAATTTCCACAAAAATATGAAGCAGCAAATGTTTTCAACATTGTTCAGAAATGTTTCTTGAGCAGCACATCAGCATATCAGAATGATTTCTGAAGAATCATGTGACACTGAAGAGTGGAGTAATAATGTTGAAAATTCAGCTTTGCACCACAGGAATAAATTACACTTCAACACATATTAAAATAGAAAGCAGTTATTTTAAACTGCAATACTATTTCACAATATTAATATTTTTACTGCATTTTTGATCAAATAAATGCAGCCTTGGTGAGACTTTCAAAAACATTAAAACATCTTAAAGGGGTCATATGATGCGATTTCAATTTTTCCTTTCTCTTTGGAGTGTTACAAACTACTTTGTTTGGTCTTCCAAAAGAGGACGATATCCGCTTCGTCATGCCTAGAGCTGATCCCTGCTGGACGCTGAGGAAATACATCAACTTCGGGATCGGCTTTTTCCAAAAGAGGACAAATATCTAGCCCGGGGTCGTCACATGTGGTTGCCGCAAGCCCGCTGGCCGCCCCGTTCTCAAGCCCGCCAGCCACCGCTCACTCTAGCCCACCGGGTGTTTCGTTGTGAAAGCGAAACTACTTTGTTTGGCCTTCCAAAAGAGGACACGACTACAAATCAGTGGTTAAGTTGTATTTACAACACTGTTCCAGAACAGTTCAACCCAAATATTCAGATGTGTGCAGCGCATATTATGGAGGACTGTTTCCTGATCCTGGAAGAGTAGACTACAATGCCGGCTGTTCTGACTCACAGACTGTAAGTATGTTTTCATTTAAAGAATTTGCCACTGACGATTCAAACACGAGTTTTGAGCAGTGTAGAGTAGCGCTTGTTGTTTGTCATTTCTCCGATCACAAATGCAGACATGGTTTTATGTTT